GTTGTTTCCAGTGGCTAAATGCTGTATTCTATCAGGTTGTAGCTAGAGAGGGGCGCGGCGAGGCCAGACACCCCCTAAGAAAATTTTGCCCCCCCCCCCCCTGAAAAATTTCGATGACTTAAATGACTTGTTGAGTCACTATAGTTGAGTCCCCTTCAAAAAATTTGGCCCCCACTGAGCTAGGCTAGCTACAGGCCTGGATTTTATTAAGAAAATTTTAAACATAAAAGACTAACTGATGATTCAGTCACTGAGTTTATTTTCTCACCAAACTCATCTCTATTCAATTCTGAAACACAAATTATAACATCCATTTTAATTAGTTTAAATTTAATTAATTAATTATTTTATTACAGCTGGTCAGCCTCCGACATGTCGTCCAGGTGTCCAGGAGATCAAATTCCAGGTTGACCGAACTAATCTGCCTAAGAAGATTGTATGTTTACCCATGTATAGTTTTAACGCCAGCTCACTCTGCAGAGATGAGGATGATTCCTTGACCTATTTAATATCAGAACCACCACCAGAGTTACCCCACCTGTTTTGTTTAGTCGTGGATTATCAGACGTATCAAACTTGTCTGCGTATCAATGCTACGCATAGAGACAGTATCAACATGACATCAGTTGAGGTGAGATTGACATTATAAAATTAGATGAGTAAGATATAAAGATATTTACTGTGATATATCTAATTAGTTCTGCACATTTAATGCAAAAAAACTATTTCATGACAAGAAACGAAATGATTTACACATGAATAATATAAACCATGCTGAACTAATAGATTAAACATACCCTAAACAACTTTCACGCCTCTTTTAAATTTAGCTTCCTTCATGCATGACTGTTTTGTTGTTGTCATTCTTTGTGCCTTGCTCACACATTAAAGACGGGTATCATTATTTTTTTAGTGTGAAATTAAGCAAACTCTCTTTAAAGAGATATATTTATTCAGTGTCAATTCAGCAATCTGTATTACTTATTAACACTAAAATGAGACATCAACTTTCCCTACTACTGTCTGACTTAATTGAGATATGATTCTTTGAATTGAATTTGTTCTCTCAATTCATAAATATTCAAAATAAAGTTTTAAACTTTATACCATTTGTCTAAGAATGTCTTTAGGTCTATAGAAATATAGGGTTCAGTGATTTTACATTTAAAATAGACACACTTCCCTCCCAGAAAATTCATGTAAAAATGACCTACTTTTCAAACTGAAAATTCCCTTCTGTAAAATCATGTTTACAAATTATAACTTTTCCAGTGGTTGACATTTTCATCAACCCAAAGACAAGCAAATACTCTCAGTAGTATTAAATACTGTATTTTGTAATTGATATTTCAATTAATTCGAAAATGATTGCCAAAGTTCAATTCAGAAATCTTTGTAGTCAGACTGTAAACCAACTGTAAACCAACTGTAAACCAACTGTAAACCAATTGTAAACCAACTGTAAACCACACTATAAGCTGTGGATTCGTTAAAACTGATATTAATCTGTTAATTTATAACCTAGGTAACCATAAAGGCTGAAGAGTATTCCGTGTTAGAGAGGAGTGCGCCACTGAAGTTACGTATAATTTTTAATACGCCCCCTAGTGTTCAGAATAGTGTTATACAGTGGGTAGTCAACACCGCGGACACTATGTCACTGGATGTTATTCAAGAAGCTCAAGTAACAAGTCAGACGGAACTTCAAATCTCACATTTCTGTAAGTCAAAGAATTTTATTTCTTCTTCATTTTCTTCAAGGTGTAGAATGATTAGAGGGCCACAGAATTGTAAAGGGGGGGGGGGGGGGGCCTTACAGACAATTCCTTCCCTATTTTGATTATATTACTGTTGAAGTTTTTGTAAAAAGGTTTTTTAAAGATATTTATGTGTATCAGAGACACTGATAACATCAATTTACACCATTCTAATTTTTAATCATACGTCTGTGGTTTCTGTAATTTCACTTGAACTAAGTATTTTATAATTGTGATTCAAACATTAATGACATCATCAAACACTTAGATTTAGTGGAATCACAAGAACCACAGACATCTGATTAAAAATTAGAATGGTGTAATTTGATTTTATCAGTGTCTCTGATACACATTAAAACTGTATTTCCAATCTGCTGGACTTCTCTAATGTTAAATACTGTTGTTTCTATGAATCATTATACTGGGGCTGTTAGAAGCAATAGAATTAGGGGCTCACACGCTTTGCTTTCTCTACGTAAAATGATAAAAACTTTGAGAATTGGGTGTTTAAGCTGGGTTATTTCTGGACACCATGTAGAATCACCAGTGTTATAAAAATAAATAAATCTGTAGTAAGCCTAAAAAAGGTATTTTTATCATAAGTTCTTTGATTGAAACATTGAAAATAAATTACATATGGGAAACAAATGATCATTGAAAAGACAAAACTTTCTGGAAAAATTAGAATAGATTCATAGTTGGAAATTGTGGAAGAGGAGATCACTGTCCTAGCTTAATTTCCCTCATTGCACAGGGCAAGTGGTTATTTGTTCCTTCAAGAGCAGTCAAGTATCTGCACAACTTTCATTTCCTTTTATTTCATTAGCCAAATAAAGAGCAGAAAATTAAGGTTCAAAACTCTGTTCATTTCATTTCATTTTATTTTATTAGCAAAATAAGTAAACAAGAAGTTACAATGTTAAACTTTATTTAAATTTTATTTCAGCTCTATCTAACGAAAACATCGTGACAGCCTTGATTACAAATAAATCATTTCTACAACTTAGTTTAAAAGGAACACCAACATTTGAGATAAAGAAATTACAAGCCACTGTAAAGGTAGAAGACATTTTTTAAGATTATCAACAATGAGGAAACTAGAAAAATGATTTACAAAAATGATGTTTTTGCCCCAAAATATGTGTCAAATTGCACCAAATCAATTCAATTTTCTCGAGAGAATCCCATGATTCCATATTGTCTTGTGTTTTTTTCACTCCATGAGAGACTTGTGACAAGATACCTCCATAGAGTTTTATAATTCAAAGTGGTTATCTTCCCATTAAGTCAGTCTGCTCCCTATTTGTACCCCAAGTTTCGAGATTCTGGGGCTGCCAATGATCCTATTTATGGGTGACCCCTAAAACAGCGAAGGCAACACTAAGCCTATTATTACATGACATTAATAGCCTGTACCCGAGTGGCCGGTGGAATGTTTTATACAACTGAATTGTGTGTTATGTTCATATTGTTCAAATAGAAGGTATCAATATTATCATTATATAAACACAAACTAGAACACAAACCTCTATATATAGTTTTTATCTATTTAAACAGATTGTAAAGAAGTTTTCTAATTTGTTATGTGTATAAGAGACACTGATAGCATCAATTTACACCATTCTAATTTTCAATCAGACATCTGTGGTTCTTGCAATCCCACAAAAACTATGCCATCACTAGAGGGGAACTGCATATATATTTATAGAAGCTTCCAGTAGTTTCCCGCATAAAACGCGTTAGTTTTAGTGGAATTGCAGGAACCACAGACGTCCGATTGGAAATTGGGATGGTGTAAATGTTATCAGTGTCCCCGATACACATAGAAAATATAGAAAACCTCTTTACAATCTCTTTCAAAGGATTTTTTTTTTTAAATTTGTAGATAACTGACACCGGAATTCCTCGACTGACAACGACGGTAATAATCCAGATAACTCTTGTCAGACTAGATTGTCAACCAATCAACACCTTGCTTATCGATAAACGTAACATGGTAACAGTTGGTACACCGTTTCCTGTTGGACAGATTGAGTGTAGAGGGACGACAGGATACCGTTTGAATTATGATTCACCTCAGTCTGGGATCATTCCAGGTTCGGATTTTGTTTGTTTCATTATCATTTGATGTCAGAGATGTGAGATATGGTACCCCTTAAAGGTCAGGGTTCACCATTTTGGGGGGTTGATTTGAATTTTGAATATATGTAAATAATCTTCAGAAGTACTAGAAATGTATGAAAATTGCATAATTCCTTCAAAAATATCTCAAACTAGAAATTTAACATTTTATTTCTATAGATATCTTTTCTATATATGGTAGTGTCTCAAGAAAAGACGACTCATCTTTTTAAATTTTAAACACAGATATTTCTGTATTTGAAGACTCAAATTTTGATGATGAGCTTTGAACAGTAATGCTGATTGGCTTAGATAAAAAATTCCCATTTCTGAGCCTACGGTACGATTGTTCTAGACACAGCCATGAAATTAGAGAACTAGAAATATAACATGATTTCATAGGGTATACTTACTCTTTTTGACACCTGATAGCACTTTTCATTATCAAATACTTACTCATTTATTATTGATTTTAACAACTGCTACCAAAGTTTTGCCAATATCTTGTTTTGGATATCAGGTTTTGTTCGGATCGTTAGGTTTATCTATTGACCATCGAAACATTTGTTTATTTCTCCAGGTTCATCAATAAGTGTAAATTCAGCCAATGAAATTATGGTAAAAGTTAACGAAGCACTGCCGTCTCGTCTCCCAGAGACTGGATCATCGAGACTAATAGTCTCTTTCAACAAGTTAAGAAAAGTCCTGAACTTCGACTTTGAAATTTGTAAGTATAAGAATTAAACAGGGTATTTGTATTTGAGAGTGAAGGAATGGGGGGGGGGGGGGGGATATTTCAACTTGTTATTTTGACTTGTAAACCACCTTGTAGTAAATCAATATTAAATTAATTTTGTTGAAATGAGTTATTATTTTTTTGGACCACCTGGATATATCTAGATGAGTCAATTCACGAAAGCAGGCTTTGACTTCCATGAATAACGATGACAATTTTATCTTTAAATCTAGCTTACTACTCATTGATCTGGTTTGAAAGTGAGGCTACGAAATTTTCGTTACTAGAAATAGAAACAGAGGTGGGTTTATATTTATAGAATTTAAATTACGTCCACTTTACCTGAAAATAAAAATCTAAGTAGATAAAGAAGGCAGATGAGAATTAGTAGTAACCAGCTCTGATTGGCTGTATTTATTGACACATGATCACATAATATCACTGCATTTAAAACATATAATATTATACAAGAAAAGAGTGTAATGATGTCAAGGTATAAGACAGAGTTTATAACTTGTAAAGAAGAAGTAACAGATGTTTTGAAGAATAAGACTTCAGATTACAAAGATGTGCTAGTTTTAGGTTACAAAGACATGTGCTAGGTTTAAGTTACAAAGACATGTGCTAGCTTAAAGTTACAAAGATACGTGCTAGTTTTAGGTTACAAAGACATGTGCTAGGTTTAGGTTACAAAGACATGTGCTAGCTTGAAGTTACAAAAATATGTGCTAGTTTTAGGTTACAAAGACATGTGCTAGGTTTAGGTTACAAAGACATGTGCTAGCTTTAGGTTACAAAGACATGTGCTAGCTTAAAGTTACAAAGATGTGTGCTAGCTTTAGATTATAAAGATATGTGCTAGCTTTAGGTTACAAAGACATGTGCTAGCTTAAAGTTACACAGATATGTGTTAGCTTTAGATTATAAAGATATGTGCTAGCTTTAGGTTACAAGGACATGTGCTAGTTTAAAGTTACAAAGATATGTGCTAGCTTTAGATAACAATTACATGTGCTAGCTTTAGGTTACAAAGACATGTGCTAGCTTAAAGTTACAAAGATATGTGCTAGTTTTAGGTTACAAAGACATGTGCTAGCTTTAGGTTACAAAGATATGTGCTAGCTTTAGATTATAAAGATATGTGCTAGTTTTAGGTTACAAAGACATGTGCTAGCTTTAGGTTACAAGGACATGTGCTAGCTTAAAGTTACAAAGACATGTGCTAGGTTTAGGTTACAAAGATATGTGCTAGCTTTAGATAACAATTACATGTGCTAGCTTTAGGTTGCAATTACATGTGCTAGCTTAAAGTTACAAAGATATGTGCTAGCTTTAGATAACAAGACATGTGCTAGCTTAAAGTTACAAAGATATGTGCTAGCTTGAGGTTACAAAGACATCTGCTAGGTTTAGGTTACAAAGACATGTGCTAGCTTTAGGTTACAATGACATATGCTAGCTTCAGGTTACAAAGACATGTGCTAGCTTTAGGTTACAAAGACATGTGCTAGCTTTAGGTTACAAAGACGTGCTAGCTTAAAGTTACAAAGACATCTGCTAGGTTTAGGTTACAAAGACATGTGCTAGCTTTAGGTTACAATGACATATGCTAGCTTCAGGTTACAAAGACATGTGCTAGCTTTAGGTTACAAAGACATGTGCTAGCTTAAAGTTACAAAGATGTGTGCTAGCTTTAGATTACAAAAATATGTGCTAGCTTTAGTTTACATTTTAATGAATTTGTTCTTCACTAAAATTTTATTTTTCAGATTATAAAACACTTATCAGCTAAAGTTTCTATTAAATTTTCTAGAATAAGGTGAGAGGACCCATTTTTAAAAATATTTTTAACCCTTAAAGGGATATTTATTTCATTTTCATTATGAAATATTTACTCACTTACAATTGATATACTTCCTCATGTGAAAAGTTCATTAGCTGCTACTAATGATGTTTTGACTTTCGGGTTTCTTCAGCTTATCGGATCGTTTGTATTTATTTATGCTATGGATTTTAATTTATTACAAGTTAAAACTATATTAATTTCTATATAATTTGTAGAGATGTAAGCTGGGTTGATATATTATTAAAATCTAACGTCCAGTCAAGTTATAACTATATTAATTACTATATAATTTGTAGAGATGTAAACTGGGTCGATATATTATTAAAATCTAACGTCCAGTCAAGTTATAACTATATTAATTTCTATATAATTTGTAGAGATGTAAACTGGGTCGATATATTATTAAAATCTAACGTCCAGTCAAGTTATAACTATATTAATTACTATATAATTTGTAGAGATGTAAACTGGGTTGATATATTATTAAAATCTAACGTCCAGTCAAGTTATAACTATATTAACTACTATATAATTTGTAGAGATGTAAGCTGGGTTGATATATTATTAAAATCTAACGTCCAGTCAAGTTATAACTATATTAATTTTTATATAATTTGTAGAGATGTAAACTGGGTTGATATATTATTAAGATCTAACGTCCAGTCAAGTTATAACTATATTAATTACTATATAATTTGTAGAGATGTAAACTGGGTTGATATATTATTAAAATCGAACGTCCAGTCAAGTTATAACTATATTAATTACTATATAATTTGTAGAGATGTAAGCTGGGTTGATATATTAATAAAATCTAATGTCCAGTCAAGTTATAACTATATTAATTACTATATAATTTGTAGAGATGTAAACTGGGTTGATATATTATTAAAATCTAACGTCCAATCAAGTTATAACTATATTAATTACTATATAATTTGTAGAGATGTAAACTGGGTTGATATATTATTAAAATCTAACGTCCAGTCAAGTTATAACTATATTAATTACTATATAATTTGTAGAGATGTAAACTGGGTTGATATATTATTAAAATCTAACGTCCAGTCAAGTTATAACTATATTAATTGCTATATAATTTGTAGAGATGTAAACTGGGTTGATATATTATTAAAATCTAATGTCCAGTCAAGTTATAACTATATTAATTTCTATATAATTTGTAGAGATGTAAGCTGGGTTGATATATTATTAAAATCTAACGTCCAGTCAAGTTATAACTATATTAATTACTATATAATTTGTAGAGATGTAAGCTGGGTTGATATATTATTAAAATCTAACGTCCAGTCAAGTTATAACTATATTAATTACTATATAATTTGTAGAGATGTAAACTGGGTTGATATATTATTAAAATCTAACGTCCAGTCAAGTTATAACTATATTAATTACTATATAATTTGTAGAGATGTAAACTGGGTTGATATATTATTAAAATCTAACGTCCAGTCAAGTTATAACTATATTAGTTACTATATAATTTGTAGAGATGTAAACTGGGTTGATATATTATTAAAATCTAACGTCCAGTCAAGTTATAACTATATTAATTACTATATAATTTGTAGAGATGTAAGCTGGGTTGATATATTATTAAAATCTAACGTCCAGTCAAGTTATAACTATATTAATTTCTATATAATTTGTAGAGATGTAAACTGGGTTGATATATTATTAAAATCTAACGTCCAGTCAAGTTATAACTATATTAATTACTATATAATTTGTAGAGATGTAAGCTGGGTTGATATATTATTAAAATCTAACGTCCAGTCAAGTTATAACTATATTAATTACTATATAATTTGTAGAGATGTAAGCTGGGTTGATGTATTATTAAAATCTAACGTCCAGTCAAGTTATAACTATATTAATTTCTATATAATTTGTAGAGATGTAAACTGGGTTGATATATTATTAAAATCTAACGTCCAGTCAAGTTATAACTATATTAATTACTATATAATTTGTAGAGATGTAAGCTGGGTTGATATATTATTAAAATCTAACGTCCAGTCAAGTTATAACTATATTAATTTCTATATAATTTGTAGAGATGTAAGCTGGGTCGATATATTATTAAAATCTAACGTCCAGTCAAATTATAACTATATTAATTACTATATAATTTGTAGAGATGTAAGCTGGGTTGATATATTATTAAAATCTAACGTCCAGTCAAGTTATAACTATATTAATTACTATATAATTTGTAGAGATGTAAACTGGGTTGATATATTATTAAAATCTAACGTCCAGTCAAGTTATAACTATATTAATTACTATATAATTTGTAGAGATGTAAACTGGGTTGATATATTATTAAAATCTACGTCCAGTCAAGTTTAACAATGGACGAGAAGATAGTGAAGAATGATTTATTGTCTGGTCAACTCGGTTCTATTCCAGTAAAAAAATCCAGTATCGGTTCCACTCCTCAATGTAAGTTGATTTGGCATTTACTAAATAAATTAAATAAAGAAAGAATGGCAGTATTTTAAAATCCTGTTTTCTTTCCTTTCAATTCATTCTCAATAATATAGTTTTTATATAAGACAAATTTCATGTTCACAATGTCAAACTATTACAAACTTCATCTTCACAATGTCAAGATATTACAAACTTCATCTTCACAATGTCAAGCTATTACAAACTTCATCTTCACAATGTCAAGCTATTACAAACTTCATCTTCACAATGTCAAGCTATTACAAACTTCATCTACACAATGTCAAGCTATTACAAACTTCATCTTTACAATGTCAAGCTATTACATACTTCATCTTCACAATGTCAAGCTATTACAAACTTCATCTACACAATGTCAAGCTATTACAAACTTCATCTTTACAATATCAAGCTATTACAAACTTCATCTCTACAATGTCAAGCTATTAACCTAGACATGTCAACTGTGGAGTTTATTGTTAAACATATATAATAATGATATATCTATTTAGAATATTTCTTGTATTTTCAGTCAACCATATCTTCAATCCAGTAGTGAAATTTCAAGATTCAGATCAGAAGATTTTTCAAGGTTTATCTGTGGTCGTCAACTGTGAGGCAGAGTTCATCAACGTGT